TATTACTCACATCTCACTGCTTATTTATACTATTCTTGACGGGCAATAAACACAATTTTAAAGGAATGTCGACGTATAAAAGAATACCTATAAAATAGAAATTATCTACACTTTCTCCAACACGTGTTTCCACTTAAACTTAGGAGCTTATCAAAATAGTCAGCACCCGAAATGCGATATTTTGTAAGATGTCGATTCTAATTCGATTGATACCGTCAACTGTCAAACCCCTATCAAACGTCAAATTCTCAACGTCAAGTCAGAATATCTGTCTTCGTAATGAGATTCTAATGAATTATTTATTTTAGCTTTGGTTGTACTTCCCTTGGGTATTCGTAATGTTTGTATATTACTTTAAGCAGTTTGACATACAGGGTGTCTCAAAAACAATGGATAACCTTGTATCTATCGATATTATTATGGTCTCTCTAACATAAAATTTTGACCAGGTAAAAGTATCATGATGAAATTTTTAAGTTTTTTAGAAAATTGCAACCTGATCTTGCTTGCTCTTGATCATAAGGAGGCCTATCGATGGTTGCAGGGTTATCCATTGTTTATGGGACACCATGTATATTTGGTGAATTAATGGCAAAGGTTGGCGCTTCGCAAATGGCCAACGTTTGTTCAATAAGCGATACCAAGTAAGCAAACATGTTTGTTGCGAGTGTCACGTGAGTCACAGTTGGTCACAGCCGAGAATAGAATAGATAGACGGTAACACAGCTAGTTTAAACGTTGAACAATAAGCATGTAGGTTTTATTAATCTATCGCGTTACTATATTCCATGACATTGTTTCCTTTTAAATAGCGCTACTGTGTTAAAATTATCTTTAATTTAATTTATTACTAAGGCCCGATTCGACCAAACTTACTTTATCCGAGAATAACTCCTGGTATAACTGGCACATTGACAGTTTCAGTATGGGAAATAATCAAAACTGACGATTTATTCCGAGATTATTATTTACTTTTGTTTGGTCGAATCTACTCTAAGACAGTAATTTACTGACTTTAGAACACTTTAGAAGAGTCTACAAAATGCCAATAATTGAAATTCAAGATCTACTTCAAAATCTGTATTTTTGAGAGAGAGCGGGGTATCCCTTTATCAATGATTTTACTCGGTAGAAATCCCTAGTCCAAAGACAGCAAGTTTCATACACATCTTCGCACATCATAAACAGAACATTTTGTGCTTAACATTTAAGATGTCAAACAATCTGAGACAATATTATTATCACAAATACCAGTCCAGTAAGTTGTACCAATGATAAACATATAAAATGCCAAAGTCTTTATTACACAAAGGAGCCATAACTTCGTTTTATGTTGCAGGAATAGATATTTAAACTTTGTTGTTTTCTCAGAATAGTCAACAGCACATCAGACTCTAAATTTTTATTGAAAAATAGATCTTATTGCAAGTACATAAGAGTTACAGTGTTTACGTTGATGTGCTGTCATTTTCGTTGCATAATCCGTGTCAATAGCTTGTGAATGCATCCTCAGGATTTTGTGTACACATTAGTTTAGCTATTATTTGTGTGTTTGATGTAGGTAAAATGCTTTATGAATATTACTATTCTACCATGTGTTTGTTAAGAACTGTTAATAATTTATTGTTTTATAGATTATATGAAAGCAATACCTAGTAAGCTGAATGTGAAATACTGCCCAAAAAATATTTAAAAAATGTTTTTTGAGTCTACTCTAGACATTGGTCATTCGTTTTAGAATCGACTTCGTGATCTATTCGCTACAAAATAGAACATGACACTTCATGAAATCATTTGATAAACAAAAGTTTCCTCAGTCATACAAATCGATTGGCATTGATATTTTGTCGTCGTCAAACTTCTCACATTCAGAACCGAAAGCGCCAAAACAATCCCGCGTCATCGCCAAAAATCCCAAGTGGAATTTGGAGTATAGTAAAGTTACTGTCGTCACAACACATCCCTAGTTTGTTTTTGTTGTGATTCACTCCGTTAGTGACGTGAGTGAGCAACAAGTTTTTCTATTGTCTCTCGATGACACGGTTACACATTGTTGTGACCGCCACTTTTCAGTCCGAAGCAACCGACCGCTTCTTCGCCCCGCCTCAAGCAAGGTGATAATTAAAATTTAATGACTACAAACAAAGACTGTCGCCAAGCGTCGTTACCGCTCTATGAAACAGTTTATAATTGGCTAATTAACAATAAAAGATTTTTTACAAATGATTAATGCCATCAATTATCGTAAATCATGCAACAATATGTTAATTCACAAAGACGCTCGCAGTTCAATTGGGTTAAGTGAAAAAATAAAAGGTTAGATATCAAAATTTTTGACAGGTAATTAAACAAAACACCCAACTTCGCCAGTGCATTGTCGGATAGACATAAATTATTATTTATTACAGCGAGAGTCTAACACGAATTCAAGGGCGTTGCATGACACTTACAAATGATTTTTAGATGTTTTTTGACCTTTTTATTTTTTTTAATACGCGATTGTTCTGTCTTTTACCGATCGTTGCAACACTGGCTGGTTAGATCACAAATTTCAAAGGTCGAAGGGACTGTTTTTTTGGATTACGTCATCGGAATTTGAATCAACCTTGCAACAGCCAAACTTACGTAGGCTGTTAAACAATGATTTTTAAATACAATTAAAGCATTACATGTATGATGTAGTGGTACTTTAAACAAATAAACGCCTTTAATTCATATGCGTTGTGTTGGCTGTCAAAACATGTTTGACATCATAAAGTAACAAGCAATTCATTACTGTCTACGTCACAAAAGAATAGAAATCTATAGAGCACCGTCTTTCAATGGGGCACAATCGAATAAAGTGCTTTGTACTTTTATTACTATTACAGCAAACTTGTAAACTATTGTGATTTAATTTCCCGCTCTTAAATTGAGTCTTCGAGTGTATTTTAGAATGTTGCGGTTCTTTTTTTGAATAATGGGGATGTTGCCTGGGTCAAAAAGCAAGAGTTTTAATTAGTCCGTCAGTTAACTTATCAAAAAATACTCTACACGTATTTTTCACTTTTTCAAACTAATGAAAATTTAAAGAGATAAAGCGCCCCAAAGTTCATAAGAAGAGGCCCGTGACGTCAACGCTTGCTTAAAAATGCCGCACGTTGTGACGTCGTGCGCAACTTCAACGCACCATAACTATGTAATTATTTGTTAGATTGACAAATAAAAATATATGTGTCCAATATTTTTTGATATTAAACATTACGGACTAAAAAAAATTTTTTAGGCAACTAGCCTATTGGCGCGTATTTTGACGTTCGATTCGGCCGCACCTATTTTCCTTTTGATTTTAAATTGGCGTACCGTCACTCGAATTCGATTAACATGCCAACAGTGTTTCAATCGATTAATTTAAGTGATTGCAGTATATTGATTGGCTTCTACATTAATTAACGTGGGTAATGCTGAATTTGTTAACATATCGGCTTACATGTTGTTGCTAGTTTTTTTAGCTTCACCGTGATCCGTTATACTCGGGCTTAGGAATTTGATACTTTCAAAGTTACAATGTTGCACTTGTAAGTTGAACTGAAACCATGCCTGGTGGTTTTATGTGTTAATCTCTTTCAATACATTGAACAAAAACTGCTGTCGTATTTAAGGTAACAAAATAGTAAAATACCCAAAATAAATAATTTTCTTAAGTATCCCGTTGAAATAGCTTACTTTAATCTACAAAATAAGAATAAAGTAAGATCCTAGAATAATGCTCATGATAAACCGTACGGTATAAGTAAATGCTGATAAGTTGCACAAACCGGTATTCTTATATCAGATAGTCTGTTTACGCTTGCCCTACGATTACACACCCTACGCCGTTAACCCTTAAAAGTCCATGCAAATTTTGCATACATAAATTATGTATGTTGACACCCAGATACCTCCGATAAGCCGGCAGACAAAGACGAATGGTTTTAAGTAAGAACCGTTGACACCTCGGAGTGATAACATTTTTGATAAATCGCACCTCGTTCGGATTTGTCGTGCCGGCTCATGACTAATATGAATTAATTTCAACCACGATTTACTCGGTTCAGTTACCTAATAAGTGGTATAACCACTGTATTTATGAATCTTTTTATTGCTTTGCAAATGGTTATATCGACTGCCATAGTCCAACGCTAATTGGCGAGTTGTCAAGTTTAATTCTTTTTTATTAAAGCAAGTAGGTAATTTAACTTACGCGTGCAGTCAGTTTTGTTATACATTTAAATTCCTGCTTTCCTTTCTTATAATCATGTATTATTACGTTTGCTTCGCTTTGTGATTTTATTAAAGCAATAAAAGTTTATGTCTTGAAAGACACCCGTCTTGTACTAAATATATCTACCTAACATTGGATACCGAAACGTTCTGTTTTTAAATTTTATTTTAAAACTCGTGCACGTTATAGCGGTTACTGGCCATAATAAAAAATATTAACACGGTAACCGCTGTGTTAGTAAAAAAGAAGAAAGGAGTAAAATAATTCTAAATTTAAATATTCAAAAACGGTTAAAGTGTGGGCAAATAGAACAGCTCGCTTAAGATTCCCATCGGGTCTAGCAGGACCCGTTGTCCCTTGCCCCAGGGAACTAGTTAGCAATAAAGTTACCGTTAAATTATTCAATTTCTTCGCTCAGTAATTGTTCGAAGACATACTCGTGGAGCGTCAAATGAAAATAAAATCGTAAGGGAATGCGTTCTTTATTTAAATCGTTCGACGTTTAGACAGTTATGAAAGCTAGTTAAATCGTTTATTTCATTTAAGACACTTAAATGCTGACTCATTTAAATATGTTTTAATATTTAAAATAAGAATGTAGTATTTTATTTGTTTTCGTTCAATTTTATGCAACTTCTAAACTTAACGATTTAATTAAATGTAATTCAATTTTTTATGCATAAAACTTCAACAATGTACCTAATTGTGCCTTCAAACCTCATTGCTACATTTCTAATAATATAATGTATTGTTTCAGATATTGGATTGAATCGCTGCACTGTCATGAGGTAAATTATTTAAATCCTATTTATATTTAGACAGTTGACGAGGAAACTCGTTATCAACATGAACTGTGTATTCAAATAACTGGCGTGTCACATATTTTGTGACTAAAATAATTATAAATTTGTTAGTTCGGTAGATGCTAGAGTTTGATACCTATAAGTTATTTAAATATTAAAACAATATCTGAAGAATATTCACGAAAAATTGGCTATAAAAAAATTTAAAAATAACTCATTTAACACTTTGCACGCCACGTTGCACATAGTAACAAACAATGTTTTTTTTATCTAGTTTTCTGTCCCTTCAAAAAATAGTCAACGAAAAAAATATTACATGAAAAATATGTATAATTCAACCTGACGCGTATTTTCGGCGATTCTCGAACGCACTTCGTGGCGCGTTAAGTCCGCCGTAAGAATCGACTCTCAACGAACGCCAGTTCGAGCCCCGACTCCTGCGCATTTTGGGCCTTTATCGAAGCTAACATTATTTCTGTAAATATGCTAGTCAAAACAAGGCCAAGACGAAATGCCCCTATACGGTCGCGGTCTAGACAACGTGTCTCTAACGTATCACCAATGGGGCATACAATTTTTATTTTATTACTGAAAATAAGTGCTATTTTATAATTTGAAATGTATGGAAAAAAATGTTTTGATCCACTCATTTTGAATGCTTCAATTTTGGTATTTTTTAATAAAAAAAAGCACAAAAATTATTGTAAAACAAAAAGGCCCCAAGTAGAGTCACTAATCTGATTACAACGTGAAATTATTATTCAACATAATGCGAAAATAGCGTGTTGTAGATAACGTCATTTTAGGATAGGTATCCCATTCATTTCATTGGTGGAAATATCACATTACTTAAAAGTATTGCTCGCTCATCGAAAAAATCCAAAACTTTATCGTTTGCAGATTGCATTATCTTTAACCTTCGAGAGAAAGTTAGATAAACATTATGATTGATGGAACAACTTAACCCTTATCGTGCCGATTAGATAATTATGTATTGTTGTGGATTTGTTGTCAGCTGAGCTGAAAGTGACCCTCGATTACGTAATCGTGCTCTGAGAGAAATCAATCTAAGCTTTTTTTTTTTAATTATTTTTTTTTTTCATTTATTATCATTTTACAAAGGAAGTTCTTAAACATATTACAATTAAATGCATTGGCATAAACCACTGAGGTTTGTTTGCAATGCTTGATGGTTACAATTACAACGTTGATAATAAATACATTGTGTATTTAAGACCTTTTTTAAAGATCAGCTACATTTAAAAAAGTTTAAAAAAAAGTCTTCATTTGTACAAAAAATGCTAAGCAGCATTTCGTAGGTAAGTTTTAAACTATTTTCGATCGTCTTTAGTCGATTGACTGCTCACTTTGCATGTCCTTTCGAAGGTTAAAATGTTCTGAAGTGGCAATTTGTTATTTTGGTTAGCAAAAAATGGCTTGTTTCACATAAATACAGTGCATTTATCATGTTTGGTAACCTTTAGATGCATTCGAATCGAAGTTTTTGCTTCACTCGCGTGTTTTGTGACTGACATTGGCATTAATCTTAGATCCTATATTGTTTTTATATTAAAAATTCTTTTGTTGCATTTTTCATATTCCGCTTTGTTGCTAACTTATTACGAGTACTTTGGCATGAATACCAAACTCCCCTAAGTAGGTATTGTCACAAAACTTATTGTTTTCTTGAGACCATCGGCCGCAGAACGCAATAATTCATTTATTAATGCAATGTTTCTTCTATTATTCCCATTTCTTTGTACACCACCCGGTTCCAACTACCCCAACCCTTCCTCGCCATACGGTGTCTTTAATGCCCCGACTTTCACATCCTTCCTGTTTTAAATGTATTCATAACACGACAAAAAACCTAATGCGTATCATTTGACGGTTTCTAGACAAAAGGTCGATGTCTATTGTGGGGTTAAAAGGATTTTTTTGGGCTTCGAAGATGCAACGGATAGTTTGCTTAGCTTCGAACGTAATTCGATGATGGTTTACTCTCGGTTTTGTTTGGGCTTTTGTTTTTTTGATGGTCCTCAACTAATAATGTTCTTGTTTTTAGAGATTTCGTCATTGAAAAAAGAAAAAAGGCTCTTTAATGACAGTCTGTCTGCTACATAGAAGTACTCGTACTTGATCGGTTCATGCTCTAATTACAACACAATTATTTTTTCAATTTAGAATAAATTTTCTTAATTATAAAATACGTTAAGCAAGAGGCTATTAATAATAGCTAAATGAATGTAGAGTAATTGTTATTGAGTATCGTATTATAAATACATATCAGCATAATAAACGACGACAAGCCAAATCAACTCCTAACTGATAAATTTCAACAAACTTAATAATTTACACAGATAATTAAAAATCTTAATTCGAATAATTTGTTTTGATATCACGAAATATGAGCTCTGAAAAGTAATATTTTTAACGATACACCAGCCAGCGATACATTAAAGCGAATGAAAAATGATATTGCATTGGCAAGATAACAATGTCGTACATCGTCATAAGTAATCGGCTCGTTAACTTCGGACTACTTGAGCCCTTTCATCGGCGTCTTACAAACCGCCGCACAAAGTGCGTCTTTGTCGTTCCCTATCTCTGTAGTCTGTACAATGGCTACCGCGCATTAAAGAATCTAACCCATTTGAATAACGCATCCCATTGTCAATATTATAAATATTATGCTAATGCGATAAAAGATATTTTTGACTCCGGTCGCTTAGACCAGGTGTAGCCAGAAAGGGTTCATGAGATTCAAATGTCTAACCCTCCTGTTCGTGCAATCATTTATTAAGATTTGCCCTTTTGTTTAGCATATGATTCCCATACATGCGTGCATGTGCATCGTAATTTATGTGAGAGCATGATATTTTTTGAAATTCGTTCACAGTTCTTAGATTTTGAATGGTGTTTGAAGACGGTCGTAAATTCGTGGATTAGTTTTATAGTAGTTGGAATAGCATGATGTGGCATTTTGATGTAAGATAAAAATGTTAAAAAAATATGTTTTATGGACGTAGATTTTACGAGTATATTTAAATAGTTAGTTTAATCTTGCTCATGTTAAGGATTATTCATTAGTGTAACAATTTTATAGCTTGCATTTTGAATAAAACATTTTAATTTAACGTTGGCTTCGACTATAAAATTATATATTCGTTAAACAAGTCTCTCTTTAGGATTTCGTTTCTCTTATTTAGATGGTTTAATGTGGAAATTTGAGTTTAATTATATTCATGCCTTAAACGATTTTAGATTTTATTGATCTGTCAATTCTGTAATTCTAACACAAAACCACTACGGTTCCAAAATGTAGACTAAAAGTTTTCCTACTTTATTAATTTGTATTTTTTATGACTTCGAATGTCAGCAATTTAATTAGGCTGACAATTACAATATTTCATGTTATTAAACCTTGTACCTGCTGACTTATCATACGATCAGACATAAAACGTAATGGTTTTGACTGTTGTAAGTATTATTTTTACTTCTGTCTTTACGACAAAAATTTAATAGTTGCTGCACACTGCACATGTATCTGTCTTAAAAAGAATGACTAATTATTAACTCCGCAGGGCGCCCAACATACCTTTATCCAGAAAACACAATTAAAACAAACTAATAGTATCACGCACTGTTAACGCCATCTGTCACTGCACAATTACAGAAATGTATTTTATTTGTTTTCTTACCTTACCTTGTTTCAACATGTCGATTTGTAATTGGAACCAATTTCTCGAGGTTCATTGTATGCCCGGGGCCTAATTATGCAATTATTGCAAACGAAAAACATCGGCCTTTTATCGGTGGTTACGACAATTTAACACTTATCCCGGTCTTCGAGACCGTGCGGCGTTTAAACGGTTAACACACTTTTCATCTATGCGTTTATTAACTGGCGTACTTCGTGAAGCTAAAAAATAAATTGAGAAAAAGATCGTTACATTTTTTGAGCGTTAATCTAAGATTAATAAATTTTTGCTCATAAAACATGGTGTTTATCGCACCTATAATTTGTTGATAAAAATAACTGTTAATAACAGTGTATTATGGTATTACATTCGTTTTTTGTTTTATAAGCCGGCTGCAATTTCCGGTTGTCATTAAGAGAAGGGTTCAGTAGAGCTTGTGACTTTTCAAAGTCAAAGTCAAAGTCAAAATTTCTTTATTTGTTTAGACTAATAAATAGTTCTTACAAATCGTCATATGCTCTTAAGGAGCCTCTACATGTCTCATAATCTTTTTACCCTACCAGCGCTTCGAGACCAACATTTGGCAAGTGCTGAGAAGAAGCGCCGCAACAAACTCAGTCACCACTGTCTGCCGGTTAATATAAATAAATAGAAATAGTAGTAGTAGGTACATTCGATTCAGGAGCAGTTCACTGAATTTACTGAATTTATTATTATTTATTATTTTCTATTAAGTCTTCTTTTATTTTTTTGACCTTAATATTAAGAGATGAAATCGAATCAATAACGGATTTCCTTTGCATAGATACTGAAACAGCAAGCTTCATAGCGTTAATGGATGACTCGACTGCGGACGTAGAGTCGTTATTATTAATAACGCCCATAATTCAATCTCATATCAACGTGCACTTAATTAACTGGCGTCGAAAACAATAGGCCTGTACACGTTTAGTTGAAAAAAAAACTAAAAATATACAGTTAAAAACATTAAAAGTTTTGGTGCACGTCGAAAATGTTATTGCTTAATTAAGACGGTGTTAAATTAAATAAAGTACGTAAATATTATAATAAAATGTTCTAACATCATTGTAAAATCATTGAAGTGTGTCCTTTTGGCTCGTGAATTCCGTAGTCGTGTCTAAAAAACGTTCTGAGTACAGTCACCCAAAGTAGCCAAAAATTCGTAACACGTCTTTGTTGGTCTTGGAGTAAGGTTTTGTTCTCAACTTTTTGACCTTTTTGGGTGTTACGAACTATTTGGCTGACTGTACTTAGATGTACAAA